CGCCCCCTAAAAAAAAAACCTTTAAAAAAAAAAAAAAAAAAAAGAACATGAGGTACATGAACACATGCACACAGCATGCTTTTTCAAGCCACTGGCATCAGGACTTGAACCACAGTTGCCCATATGAGATCTGGTTCACTTTACCACTAGGCCACAGGGCTGGCCCCTGCAAATAATTCTTTTTCTTCTCCTTCTTTTTTTTTTTTTTTTTTAAGGTTTTTGCCATAGATCATATGCACTCTCCAGAGAGAGACAGCGAGAAATCACCCCCTAGGAGAATGGCCATGTTACAATCCCATCTCCATTCTCCTCCAGGGATTCTGGGCATGCACACACATGTAGCATAATTTTCAAACCACTGGGTCCAGGACTCAAACTGAAGTCCAGTACCTTAACCACCACATCACCTACTGATCCCACGAAGGCTTTTTAATACAACCTGAATCACACTGACGATGTTCTCTTTGACTGCCCTTCCCTTTCCTCTTCTCCCAGGTAACAAGGCCCCCAGCTTTTTCTGTCTAGTCCAAAGAAGTCTTACTGCTAGGCACCTCACCTTTTAAGGCAGTCTTGGACAATTTTCCTCCCTCTCTGAGCCTCGGTCTTCTCATTTCTACAATGGGTACTGTATGATTTGACTGTATATAAGGGTGACACTCCATACCTGGGCATCGAAGGGGCTACTCAACTCTTCACACTCCAGTACCCACAGGTGACAAAGACACACACTGACCTCCAAGCCTGGAGGAACGGCCACCCAGATGGCCTGTGCCTTAGGCAGCAGATCATAGGAGAACACGGGCCCTGGGGAGAAGGGGGACTTGGTGGCCTTGTTTCTTAGCCTTAGCACAGACGTTACTACGTGGTTGAACCTGTTTCCTATCACGGCCCATGCCTACCTCTATGCTTTTGTGATCCCAGTCTCCAGAGACTTTCCGGTGCTTCTGGAGCTGAAGGCTGGGCCCTTTTGGAGCACGGCTCCTTGTAGGAGGGATTAGAAATGTGGTGGCCCCTCTCTGACAGGCAACAGTCAGCCAGAAACTTCATCTGTAGGCAGAGAACGAGGCTGGACTTAGGCCAGGAGTCAGAGAATGTGGCTTCTCGTTTTGGAACCTGAGGTACCACAGGCAAGGCGCTCAACCTCATCTGGCCTCAGCTTTCCTAACTGTGTCATGGACAGAATAGTCTACTTCATCTCTACTCTTTCATCTCCCTAATACTGCTGGAGAACAAAATGAGGCCAGAAGAAAAGAACAAAAGGTGGGGTCTACGTTAGGGCTGGCACTGGCAGGGAGAGTACCTGAACAGGTCCTGACGTCCTGTGTTTCTCAAAGAACCTGAGCACGTAAAGCCTGAACATCATATTCCACTGCAGGGAACAGAACCGTCTCTTCCAAAGGCCTGTGCAGGGGAGACATAGTTAACTATCCAGCCCTTCCTGCCCCTTTCCTACCTGGAGATGTGGTTCAATGTTGGATGATAAGTCATTTTAAATTAAGCTTCTTGGGGCCAGCAGGTGGCATGGTGGTTAAGGTGCTGGACTCCCACATGGCCGACTGAGGTACAAGTCCTCAACCTAGTGACTTGCTTTTTTTTTTTTTT